ATATTTGGACAGTATTTAACATGTGTCATTTATATTAAAAAAAACATTAGTTTTATTTTCATATTTCCCTTGTTTCTTAGAAACTATTTCCAAACAAACCATTTTCTCTCAGACCTCCATCAACATTTTCAGTTTTCTACTTGTAGATGAAGGTTACAGCTACAGTGTGTACGTGTTCCCCAGCAATACTAGAAAAGGACACATGCCTTACATAGTTCTCTGAGGACAAAACAAATATATTTCAAAAAATTAACATCATTTTACATGCAACATTATGTATCATATTATATACATAGTATTTAAGAATCTGTGTGTGAGTGTGAGTGTGTGTGTGTGTGTGTGTGTGTGTGTGTGTGTGATAGCAATAGAAAGGACTTAAAAAACAGCTCTGCATTTTGGGTTGCTTCTCATGTTTACTATATGAATATTGAAGGACTTTTTTATCCAGATGCTCAGAAATTTTGCCAAAATGTGCTAAAAGAAAGTCACTTAGAGAATATGAGCTAGCCTTGAGATTAATCAAACCATTAACTTCACGGACTTCCACAAATACTGAGATGAAAACAACAGATTATTTTCAGCCATCAAATATTTCAATACTTCCCTTTGTTTCTATGACACATTTATCCCATACGAAATATTTGCAAAAGGGGTTGTAATGGCCTTTGGGGACAAGAAGAATAAGATTTCTGTAGAAAATGTTAAATTAATTTTGATGGTGATGCAAAGTTAAGGACGCCGGTTAAGGGATGGCTTGCCGCCATAGGGTGGGGTTTTGTTTTGGTTCCTGTTAGAGCTGCAGGTGTTTGGCACCAGTTACAATTGGGGCCAGCTGTGAAATTTCAATAATCCTGATATTTCCCTCCCAATATTTCTCAGAAGTGATGCTTTGGGGTGATGTCTTACACCTGACATATTCAACTTGTGTGGTACAAATGGGAAGACTATGGTAAATAACACCCATTTGTGAAACCCTTTGCCCTTTTTCCCAACCTCTAGTCATAGCATCAAGGACAAAGACAAACATTAAACATGGGCTCCAATCAGACATAGCTTTTAACTAAGCAGTTCAATAAAAGATGATGATATTCAAGAATGACTAAATACAGTTTAAAGTGAAATCCTGAGGCAGGTGGAGGGTTCTTTGATACCGGGTGTAGACAACGGTGTTTTAAACTCTCTCTGTGGTAAGATCCATACCTATTCTTGCAGGAATTTGAATAGTTTCTATTAAAAGCTACGTTTTCTTTTAAGTTTGTTTGGGTTGGAAATCCTCAAACCACAATGTATTTCATGCACATGTTCCCAAGGGTATGTTAAATAGGACTATGCTGAGGTCATCAAGTAAGTTGTTGAAACTTTTAAAGAATTCCTTTAATGTATTGCACAATCTTGGCCTGATTAAAAGAAGATATTTTAAGAAAGCACTTGGGAAAAAGACTAGCTATTAAAATCTATATGTAGATAATCTATATTATACCCTGTAATGCATAGAGTTCTCCACAGATAATTTATTATTGATGGAAGAAAACAATAAACCCACCTCTTTAAGCATTGAGTTACTACTCAAAACTATCAGTTAATTCAGGCAAACAACCCTATAGTATTTGTTAGTAACAGTGGCTATTCATAGGCTCATTTTAACCATACAAAGGTCAGTACCACTTAGTCAGAGGATGAACGGTAGACAATTATCCATCTCGCCAAGAAAAAGTACATCATCCCATGCTTTTCAGTTGAGACAATTCAAGATTCCTTGGAACATGAGGTGACGCTGGAACTGTTAGGTTAGAAATAATTTTTACCCATCAAGTAAATTTTCATGGTCTACCAAGATTTTCAAGGAGGAATGTGCATAGTCCACATGATAAGTGACAAAATTCTCTTCTACTCGTGGAGTTTCTGGTCTCCCACTCCCTTTCCTCTGTAGCTGGATACTCCCCTTTTCACTTCATCAAGGCCTTCCTTCCTGTACCTTGTACTTCACCTGAAGTGATTTCTAATCAAGAAAGCAGCTGTGCTGGCACAGTGTACAATGGGGTGCACAGCACCAGTGGCCCATTCCCACATCCGAAAGTATGGCCAGTCCCTTGAACCCAGGGCCGAGAAACTGCAGTTCATCAGAGGGAAAGCAAAGGAGGACACTTGAAACAGAAATCTTACTTTTAAAAAAACATATATGGAAAATTAGAAAGAGGATCATCGATCAGAAATGAGGATGCATTAAGAACTTTGGGCAAAGAGTTTGTGGCCACATTTTCATAAAAGTATAACAGAGTGTGATTTTCAGTAAGTGATCCTCATGACTTAAATATTCCTCTATTTGCTAGCACAGGGGAGTCAAGTAGGTGTCTGCAACAAGAATAAATCATAAAGGGTACCATCATAATGAGAGCTACCACCATGCTCAGAGAAGTTCCTCCAGTACTTCCCTCCACTCCTGCTCTCTCATAAACATCTCATCTAATACTACCAACAGAGATAAGATCCTATTTCAACATCACACATTTGAGGAAACTAAAACTTATGAATATTCATAAAACTATATTCAGCAATTTTGACTCAGCCATTATTTTATACTTAGACCCTTGAGGTCACCAGGAGCAATTTAATAGCCCTAAAGGTAAAGTTGGTTAGTCCATTTCAGAGGTACACAGGAACCACTTAACATTTTAGGAAACCTGTGCTTTATACACAGCTAACCAAATTTTCATTTTTTATTCATAAATCCACAAATATTTATCATATATCTGATAGGTCAGCCATTTTTTAAATTTATGTTACAGAAAGACAAAAATTAAAATGATAGCTAGTAAGTATAATAAATGCTTGGCTTTGTTTCATTTTTAGATAGCTCAACTGACCTGGAATTCCCTACATATCCCAAGCAGGCCCCAAGCTCATGGCAATCTGCTTGCCTCAGCCTCCTAAGTGTTGAGATTAAAGGAATAGGACAATGAACTAGCTAAATGGCTAATTTGTATGTCACATTAATGTGTTTTTCTAAAATATTTTATAGAACCATTAACTCTGATTTTTTCCCATATTACATTTTTTTTAATTCAAAATGTTATGGAATTCTTCCTAATAGAGACAAACACTTCAGGCATAAGGGAAAGATGACACAGCACCCATAACTCTTGCATGAACACAACTAGAATACTAACAATTGCCATAGCTATCTTTGTGTATTTCTAGACTGTAAAAGTAATATGTAGCTCTCTAATGTTTCCAAAAGTCCAGGTAATGTGTACAATTACACTTTTGTACTTAAATTTCAAAGAAAAATCTAACTATATGTATATATGAAAGAGAACAGCTCTTATCTTGCTTCTAGGGTACAATTATCAATAGCAATCAGCATATAATTGAATATTCTGATGCTATAACTATAACAATTAGAGGACTCTAATTGTTTGGGTGGGTAACAGGGAAATTTGCAGTCTCAGAAGGTGGAACAACAAGCATGCACCTGACTGAGGCAATATCAATCTTCGTCACTTGGTAGATAGGCTAAGAACTAAAAACATATGCCATAGACAAAAAGCATCCTTGCAGGCCAAAACAGTTGTGGTACAAAGAAATCATTAAATCACTAAATTTCCCTTGTAGTAATTAAATGGGACTACAAGGGACAATCTAAATTAGCCTATAATTAGTCTGAATTAGGACATTTCATGATCAACTATATGGTACTGGGTGGACTTTTATCAAAACCTAAAATTGGGTAACAGTACAATGTTTCTACTAATATTTTGGAAATTGATTTTTGCATTGGCAAATAAACTCCCAAGAAATATTTCTGGGGAAATATACTCTAAATCAAGAAAAACTAGAACTCCTGAATGAGTCAGTACCAGTGTGCAGTGACAGTTGGAGTTGTAAAGTGAGCCAACCAGCTCTGTGGTCCGCGGAGGTGTGTACAGGACTGCCTCCCCACAGGAATCATCTGGCACAAATCCCTGATCTTTGGGTCCCTTCCAGATAACTCATACACACACACTGGATGGACACCATTACTTTAGATCCATACTGGCCACTGTTTCATCAGGAACAAAAATCCAGTCTTGGCAGGGAAATAGCACACAAAAGAATTCTTCAATTAATTCACCTGCTTTCTCCAGTATCACTAAACAAAAGATATTAAAATTTCCTTTTAAGTGAATATTCATGAAAATAACGTTTGAAGAGATTTGTTTCCAACAAAGTTTTTCTCCTTAAGAAAAGTAATTTCATATCTAATAATTCATTTCAAATTTTTAAAACTTCTACTGTATACAAATAAAGAACTCAAGAAAAAATATTCTTTAATTTTATAACTGTAAGAAACTGACAATATATCTGAGTAAGCATAGTAAAATCTTCACAGAAAAAATAGAGCTACCTTATATTTTAAGGTTATGATGCAAATCTGAGCTGTTGCAAGGTACATGCAGTTGTGATACCTACTGAAGTAATAAAATCAAAATGGAGTGACAGAATTTATACTTGAATGATGTTATAGAATTTTTTTCAGATAACTCTTCTTCCTGCTCAGCACAAATATCTATCCAATATATGCCTCATAAATAACACAAAAAAACCAAACATATGAAAGCCTCACCAGAGAACTTGTCTGACTTTCTTCAAGGCAGCAGTATGACCAGAAGTGGCCAGTGACTGTGGAGGTTTCCATATTTATTTCTACCAGGAGCAATCTCTTAGATCCTGACCCCAGCCTCTCAATTGGCTATATTTCTTTTTTTTTTTTTTTCAAGAAAAATAAATCCCTGATTTTAGGAATTTTATATTGCAGAAGGCTGCTGGATATAGCAGACACGGAAGTATGACTGGAAGTCTGCTGGTTCTGAATTGTGACTCCTTTTAAGAACCACAAACAACTGCAACCAAAGAGTGAAATATCATGTGACTTAGACTTAAAAGATCAGTGGTCTTTGTTCCTTTCTATAAATCAGTCAGGATAAGAAAGAGAAGTAAGCAAAAACTTCAAATGTACAAACCTGGGGCTCTGAAAACACATCCTTCATGCTGTTGATTGGGCCATATGGGATCCCACTGCCTTCAAAGAGACATAGCCACTTGGCGGTGGTTTCTTCTGCAATCCTAGGGCAGACAAACAGGATGGTTTTACAATCTAAAGAAGGTGACAAGCGCTCTTCTCTCATGTGGCCTTCCTTTAAGTAGCTAATAGTGATAAAAATGTTTCTTTGGCTTTCTTAACTGAGTTTTTAGAGAAAATTATCTATAGGGTGGGACTTGAAGATCCCTGCATGGTGAGAGCAGCTACCCAGACCAGAGATGCAGTTTCTACTAGTCAGTCCTAGCCTATCTCTGGCAAGGAGACCCCCAGAAAAGAAGAATTTTGTGAAAAGTGGCATCCATTGAGCTTGAAATGTTTTTGAGTGATCTATACATATAATAGCCAGAACTACAGTCTGAGCATGAAATCATGGTGCAAAATATTTTTTAGGTTTCATATATATATAAAACAGGTCAGGGTAGACACTGAGTACTCAAAACAAAAAGGAAGCTAATGTAACTGTTTTAAAAGAAAGCTACTGGACTGGTGAGGTGGCTCAGTGCTTAAGAACACTGGCTACTCTCACAGAGGACTGAGGTTCAAATCCCAGCACCCACATGGCCACTAACGACTGTTCATAACTACTGTTCCAGGCCCGACTTCCTCTTCTGACCTTCACAGGCATTCAGGACATGGGTGCACTTATATACATGCAAGTATAACATTCATACAATTAACAAATAAATAAATTAAATAAATAAATAAATAAATAAATAATATTTAAAAGAAAGCTATTGATGAAGTAGATAAGAATTAATACCCACAATCATTGGCCTTTAACTACTTGTTTATCTGCACTGTGATTTATGAATTAGTGTTCCAGACAGGTAAAGACTTCACACAAGTATCAAGTATAACTTTTATACACTAAGCATTGATTCTTACTATTAAGCACAACCATGTCCCTTTCTCTTGAATTATGATACAGGTTTTTCATAAACTGGGTACGATCACACACCTGCAAACCTAGCACTTTGGAAGCATGACAGGAGGGTCAAGAGTTCAAGTTTATCCTAGGCTACCTAACAAGTCTGAGACCAGCCTGGGCTCATAAAAGGACTTTTATTATATATTTTAATTTCAGCCCCAAAATGCTAATGATCAATATGTAGTTCAAAATAAAATAATTCACTTCAAAATTGAAATCAAATTCTTTCATGAGACTATCATAACGCAAGGTTAAATATTTTGCTTCTGATTGGTTCTTCACATTCATATTCCCTTTTCATTGGCTGTTACAGTCATCTCTTGACCAACACTTCCTAAAGTATATGCAATATATATCTGATTGATATATGTTGAAAGAATCAAATCATCACTTTGAACATGATGTCTTTTCCATCAGGGAGTCAATTATTTACATTTTCCTAAGTAGAGTATTGTAATAGCCCGGTAAGTTTTCAAAACAAGTAGTTTATGATCATTGGGCTCCTGCAAAGGGCCTGAAAGATCTAAATGCATGTCAGTGTTTCATGGAGTCCTTGGTGCATGCTAGCCAGAGAAAACTCCAGGGAATACTGGAAACTTTGATACATACACAAGCTTTTCACCACTGGTCAAAAGACAGGGATTTATTTCACGCTGTGGAAGACCGTAGGTGCACTTTGGAAACGAGACTGAGGACGGAGGTAGTGTCTGGAGCTGCTATTTTGACCGCTATGTGGGTGTGGGTGTGTCTGGCTTCCTACATGCCACAAACTCAATCAGTCAAAGATGGAACATGCTGCATTCCACCTCTCCCAGAGGGGAGGATTCATCATCTTCTTCCAAAATCTATCTCTTGATCTAAGTCTGATGTGAATCCTTTCCTTTTAAAAAAGAGGAAGAACACACACACACAAACACACACACACACACACACACACACACACACACAAACACATACACCAAAACGTTGAAAGCACATGTTTTCATTAACCACAAAATTTCTTAAGAGGGAGAAAAGAAAAATGCTGATGTAAACCATCCAGGGCATAAGAATCCTGAAGATTAGATAAAAAGAGGGCACTTACATCCAGTCTAGCAAGCTCAAGGCTCAATTCCTGATAGGAGGCTATGTGGAGCCTTATAAATGCTTAATTGAAAATTAACTTATTCCATATATTTAATTCTAAAATTTTTGAAATTCACTTGAGACCAGGAATGACTACTATTAATCAGACAGCATTTGGGTAACAGGTGGAACAATGTCCTTTCTAGTCCATCACTACTACTGAACCTCTTAAGTCCAGCTTGGTCACCAATGCCCTTTCATACTGTCTCCAATTCTCTGTTCTCTTCAGAGTCTCCACACAATATTTAATACTGATTACTCCACTTTAAGTTTTATGAAACTTATTATCATTTGCTTTCTTTAGTGCCACTTTGGCTATTTCTGTTTCTTATATTATTTTTCTAGTCCAAGTACTCCATGTCATCATTTATTCAATCTTGTTACTTGGATAAAAGGCCTCCAAAGGCCCATAGCAGCCAGCCTGTGGTACTCATGGGAGAAACTGAAACATCAAAAGTCAAGTACAGTAGGAGGAATGATACTGACACCCAAGCCCCTACCTGTCTCTCTCTGCTTCCTGGCTTCCATAGGTGAACAGCTTTCCTGACCACACCCCTGCCATGATACACTATCTTATTGAAGGCATAAAAGTGATAGAACCAGTCAAGGGACTAGAACCTCTGAAACCATGAGTAGATGATAGATTAGATAGATGATTGAGAGAGAGAGAGAGATTGATAGATAGATGAGATAGGCAGAGCCTGGTATGGTAGTACATGCCTGTACTCCCAGCACTGGGGAGATGGAGACAGGAGAATCTCTGGATAGATAGATAGATAGATAGATAGATGATAGATAGATAGATAAATTGATTAGCTCTTCCCAGTATTTTGTCATGGTAATACAAAGCTGACCAACATATTTACCTCTGCAACCTTACTATCTCTATGCAGGTGACACTAAAGAAATTACTGCTTCCACTATTCACAATAGTCAAATTATGGAATCAGCCTAAGGAATCCATCACACATGAATGGAAAAGAAAATGTAATAGATATACACAAAGGAGTTTTATTCAGCTATAAAGAATAAAATTGTGTTCTTTTCAGGAAAATGGAAGCTAATGGAGATTATCATACTGAGCAAAACAAGTCAGAGTCAGAAAGATAAATATTGCTTTTTTTCTCTCATATATGGATCACACACAATAACCACAACAAAAACAATGACAACAAAATGAAAGTTAAAGGCAGGCTATAAGAAAAAGAAAGAGACTAGTGGGAGGAGGGAAGGAGATGGATAGGGAGTGAATATGGTTAAAGTACTTGATACACATGAATGAAAATGTCTTCATGAAACTCATCACTGTATACAATGAATACACATTAATAAAAATTTGTAAAGGGAAAAATTTTCACTGTCTCCTTTCTTTCTTCTTTGAATAGATCAGTAAATTTGGTTAAGTCTCAAATCTGTTTAGCTAGAATTTCCTTCCCTAGGAACAGGACTTACTTTTGCATACAAAGGACACACACTGTTGATTGACTGTTACATCCCTAGGATTTAGAATGTACTTGGCACTCACTCTTTGCTGAAGGGATGAACACATGACTATTTTGGAAGAATGAGAGTTTCTCCATCATATTAGCCTGAGAGTGTAGCCAATTACTTTCTCCTATAACCTCCTGAGATTAGGTTTAATAAAACACTGGGGTTGGGAGAAGGGAGAAAATAATGTGAGACCCTTAGGTTTAAATGCAATGTCATAACATTGCCCCTCTTCCCTCTTTCTAAATTATTCCCTAAATACTGTTTTAGGAATATGTCCTGAGGAAAATATATTTCACATTCCCAGTAATTCATGAACAAGTGCTTTAAACACGATTTCTCTATCTATGAATGTCTGTGTCTGTTACCCAGAAAATTTAAAGGACCTTTAACATCCGTTGTTTTCAATGATCTTATGAAGTTATCATCTTACTTACATTGAAAACGTTTCTGGTAATAGGGATCTCACTGGTGGCCCAGTTATTGGAGTTATTCAAACAACTGGGAAGCATGTGAAGACAGAGAAGGGCCCGAAGGAACCCCTTTGAACAGATTTGGGGTTGAATAGCCCCAGGCACTCCATTTCCTCCTTTTGATAAGACCTTAATGGGAAGCACTTACTAAACGCAAGGCTCAGAGAGAAGCAGTTTATGCATGTTAATCCTCACGACAATCCAGTGAACGAGGCATCTTAAATATTCTCATTTTAAAGACAAGCAAATCAAGGGTTGGAAAAATTTTTGTGGTGCTAGGCTAGAAATGAAACCCAGGATCTTTGCATTCTAGGCAAGGAAGGAAGGAAAGAACCAGAAAAGGAAAGAAGGAAGGAAGGAAGGAAGGAAGGAAGGAAGGAAGGAAGGAAGGAAGGAAGGAAGGGGAGAAAGAAGAAAGGAAGAAAGAAAGAAAGAAAGAAAGAAAGAAAGAAAGAAAGAAAGAAAGAAAGAAAGAAAGAAAGAAAGAAAGAGAGAGAAGAAAAAGTAACCTTTTGAACTCAATATTCTATAGCAAAGTAGGACTTCTATCCTGGATGCAAAGCTCATGCATGAGCCCCTACTATCCAGTGCTTGGTTTTGGGCAGCAAATCCCAGGACAACAGAAAAGTGAAGGTCAATGAGTGGCATGCTGCTGAGCACCAGTATCTCCAAGGGCTTGAAAGGCAGCCCTTAAAGTGTAATAGGTAAGCATGTCATTCATTTTTGTGCACCAGGCACCACAAGGGATATTCTGCACCTACTGCTCCTAATTTTCATAATCTTGTAACATGAGCATTACATTCCTCATCGTTGAGGAAACTAGTGCTAGGAGAGGTCAGCTAGGCCAGTGAACGGATCGTAAGTCTCAAACATTCTCAGCCAGTGGGGCCCTAAACTGTTTATTGTGTTGTTGTTCTTTGTTTTTTTGTTTTGTTTCTTTGTTTTTTGTTTGTTTTTCTTTTTCTCTGAGCTCAATGTGCAGGTGGATGCTAACAATAACTCAAAGTCT